CTCGACCGTTGGGGACCCCATCCCCTCCCCAACATTCGGCATACGGTCCCAGCCAGAAACGCCAAAAGGGCTGGTTTGCTTACCTCCTCCCTGACGGGGTCAACCGTTCATTGTGCAAAGATCAACGAAATGTGTCGTAGGCGGTCGTCCAGCCAAAGAAGTTGGGTGAGGGGGGGGGTCGTAAGCCATAGATCAGTCACAAAATCTAAAGGTCCCAAGGCATAGCAAAGTGCAAAGGAGTACAGTCTTCTCAAATATTACTGCGACTACCAATTCACACACGAGCATATGACGCATCTTGGAGCAAAACAAACAGATTCTTTTGAGATAATTCCGATGCTTTCAGACCAATTAAAGTGGAGGAAAGTGCAGCGAGCCCTAGTAGAAAATTTTGGTAAAAGAAAAGTTTTCATTTCAGAGCTTTTTCTTAGGATAAATCAGCAGAGCACTAATTCGCATTTCAACGGTTTTTACCGCTTCCCATTTTTTCCAATTGTGAGGAAATTCGTAGGCGTTCATAAGCTGGAAATGACCACTCACCAGTGGTGGCCACTCCATCGTTGCAACCGATACGTTGACGGTGGGCATGAAAATATGGAAGAAGAGGCATAAATAGCCGATACTAGGGGGTCGTATTGATACCTCCTGACAGGGGTCATTTAATTCGTGGATCGTCAAATTTTAGTTGACACAACGAACGGTTGACCCTGCTCTCATGACCCCTCTTTCTTCCTTCTACTTCACCGGGCTGCTAAAATATTGCCTATTTCAAGTATTACGACAAGGAATTACAACACTCGTTTTTCTTGCCATATCTTACAGATCACCACTCGATTCTTCAACGATGATAACTGAAATAGATTGTCGTCGTCTTCCAAAAGTGGTGAGTGGATCTCTCTAGCACCTTAGATATTCGGCACTATTGCGTTTTTACAACCCCAGTGAGAGGTGAGATAGGTCAAAATTCTTGTTTCAAACCTCCCCTCTGGAGATATTCGAGAGTCCTGCTCGTAAATATTCCGTATAAGACCCTAAAATCTACCTCTAATTTTTTGAGATTCTGACTTATTTCTTAGCACACCTTTCGAGAGTCCACTGTCGATTCGCCAAAAACGATCGAACGAGGGGATGCCGATCTGGCACCTCAATTGGATCCTATTGGGTATAAGTGCGCTAGGAGCAAATAGTTTCTATGAATGCGTTAAAGTTGATTGAACTCTCATGGTTTAAACTTTTTAGGAGCTGCATGCCCACTTGAATGGCAGCATATCGTTGAAAACGATAGAGAAACTGCGCTATATGAGGTCAACGCCTGTGGAAAATGGAGATCATGGGAATTGCTTAGCACTTACGCAACCGACCACCATGGACGAGTGAGTAGTTTCTTGGGTGCCATCTTAATTGGGGTGGGGTGGGGGGACACGCCGGGCGACGCCGCGCTGGTGTGCGCCTCCTCCTGCAAGTCTTAATCCCCGATGGCGCTTATTTTGGAACTGTCACGTGATGGCGAAATAGTAACTGTCTCTGGGACTAAGCCTTTGGAGAAGCAGACGGACAGAGCGCCGCACCGCCGCGTGGTACCCCCCCCCCCAACTAAGATAGCACCGTTTTTTGAATCTAACAAGTATTATAATTTCAAAACGCCCTTCCATAACTCAGAAATTCATACCTCTTGGGCGCAGCTAGGCTACTTTTTGTATGTCTGAACAATATTATGGTCTCTGAACAGTGATAAAATTCGGAAACTTTGCTAGTTATCGATCACATATGACAGCTCTTGGATATATGCCTTGAAATCGTGGGATTTTTTTTGATTTTTGGAAAAGCTCAGTGATTTTTGGACTACCCTTTTTTGTTAGTCACACTTTTTTCTGCCTGGCAGAGCTCTTATCGAGTTTTTTTTTTCAACAAGGGAAGCCCTCCAGGTTGTCTTGGTCCTTCAGGTAGCTCTAAATGCAAATTAAAACGCTGATTTCAAGTCTGCTTTCAAATCTAACGAGTGATATTTTGAACGAAGTTATGGAGCCACAAAGCGCAGCGGCAGTGGTGCGGGCTCTCATTCAAGGGTCGCAGGATAGGTTCCTCTGCAGATTGAATCATTCGGCATCCTTCCTTCGGCAGTCACTGTATCGAGGAAGCGGGTGAGCCACTATTCACGTGCTCTCCAAGCGCCTTCCAAGCCTCTATGGGTACTCCATCCGGACCAACCGCCTTTCCAACCTTCATCTTCCCAAGTGCACACCGAACCTCATCCTCTGTCCAGAGTGCGATGGGACCAGCTGTGGCCTCTGCCCGTGAGTTGTTCTTGTGGGGGAACTCCTCGTTCAGAAGACCTCTGAAGTACTCTTCCCACCTCCTCCGGACTTCGGCTGGCTTCCTCAGGATGGCGCCGTTGCTGCTCTTCACGCTCTTCACCACCCTTGAGTAGCCCGATGCCGGGCTTTGGCCAGTCTGAAGACGAACTTCTCTGCGTTTCTGCTTTCCAACTTCTCGTACAAGGCGTCCATCTCCGTGTTCTTTGCCTTGGCGACGGCAGCCTTAGCGAGCCTCTTGCAACTCTTGTAGGCAGCGAGGTCTCGGGGCTCCGGGTCTTCTGCCAGCGCTTGTATGCTTCCTTCTTCTGCTTCACGACTCGCTGGACCTCCTCGTTCCAGAACCACGCTGCCTTGTCTCCTCTGAATCCACCTCGCGTCTCGCCCAGTACCTCCTTGGCGCATCGTAGGATGATCTCAGCTGCATTGCCCCAAGTCTGCTGCACTGGTCCCTCAGGATCTGGGAGACCAACTTCCATTATCCTTCGTTTGAGGTCGCTCTTCTCTGCTCGGTGCAACTTCCACCACCGGATTCTCCTCTCGGTTCCCTTGTCTTCTTGGGGGGCTCCATGGCTATGTCTGCGTGTGATGGGGAGCCAGTTCTTCGCTAGAGAGTACCTTGATGTCCTTCACAGTTCGACGCGCACCTCGATCCCCCTTTAGAAGTTGTTAACGGGAAACGTTTTGTACGGCGTTTTTCTGTTATAAGAATTCTCCAAAAAAACAACTCACGGAGCATTCGAAAGTTAAACTTGAGTTTGAAGAAAATGGCCGGAAAAGGTCATAGAGAAAAATCGGAGAACGGGGAACGAGGCTATTACTCGAAAGCATTATCTTTCGAAAAAGGTGCACTACTCTTCGAAATCTCTAATGTTGTAGTTTCTAAATAGCTTTGAATATCTGCAAAAAATTTGATTTATGAAGTAAGTTATAAACGTTTTGATTGTTCAACTCTACGACTTGTTTACAACAAACCGCTTGAAACTGACCAATGGTGCCATTTTTTTAAACGGTAATCTTTCAAGAATGCTCAGAATTTTTTAAAAGCGCTGTTCTCGTAACTTCTAATTTTCTGCCTACAAAGTTTGCTGTGAGAGAATCACATATCAGAGTTACGCATGCTTGAATGTTGTAAAGCTCGCAATGTACACAGAAATGGAACAACGGGATGATTTTTTGAGAATTTAGGCATTCGCACCTGTTCAAGTACTCTCGCGAAAGAAAACAACTCAAGCTTTTTCTCACCGCACTTGCGTGGTAAGCGAGAGGTGTGAGTTCGAGTACCTGGGGAAAGTTTGCTCACAACCTTCTGTGCAACTAATTGATATTTTTTGGAATTTTCGTATTTTATCAGCCTATAGAATGCACTTTAGCACAGATATGATCACCTTCTCAATTAGGGTATCGTGATTACTTTCGAGCTTAGTGCTTTTCTTGCATGAAATAGAAAGATTTAGGCAGTTTCAAAGAACATTTTGGTATTCACTGTCTATTTTAAACGTCACCTAGTTCTGCCACCCTTCACCAACAGGTCCGCGATCGCGTCAAATCAGCCGTTTGTGATGTGTGGTGCTCCTACTGCCAATGATGGGTTGCTCCTGTTAGGAATTCCTTTTGCTTGATTCGGATTTCAGACAATTTCCATGAATGCATGCAATATACGTCTAGAGATCCTTTCATTTGGGGTACTTTCAAATTTTCGCGCGATCATTCGCTTAACACATCCGAGAACTCTTGCCTAGGTGTAGTCCATTCTTAGTTTTCTTTTCCTCAAATTGCCTCCCTACTTCTTCTCAGCTGACACTTTTTAACATCAATATGGCCAGGCAACGATAGATGTGATCAAAGAGTTCAGCTGTGACGGTGTTGTATATCTGGAGCTTAGATCCACGCCCAAAACCACTGCTGAAATGTCAAAGAAGGAGTATGTAGGAGGGCATAGCACCTATGGTGCGCCATAAGTTCAGCTCCGGCTTCTCCGCTTTTTGCTCCCACTACTGAACCAAACTCTCGACCCTGTTTCAAGAATTAATGCAAACCAATCCAAGCAAGTGAGTAAGATTGTTAAGCGGAAGCCTTCTGTCTCAAACGTATCGATTTTAGACGGCAGTCTGTCGAAAGAGGCTCCAGGAAACCTTGGATATTTGCTGTTGGCTGACGGTTAGCGCCTATTTCCACGTGCTTCACACTTTGTTCACATAAATTAGGTTTGGGTTTGTGCACTACACCGACAAGCTTCCTTCCATATGTCGTCGTTCTTGAAATATTGGCCTTCAAATATTTCACCTTCACGAGAACTTGACATTGAAATATCGATAAGCAGTGGTCAGTTGCCGTAGAAGTCCCTACCGCGTAATAATAAGCCTAAATAAAAGCAGAGTCTGCCCGGGCCTACCATTTTTCTAGCCAACAATACTGTGATAAATTGATCAGCAAAACCAACTTCCTTCTGCTTGCACAGTGCAACTACTTTTGTTTGATGACTAACCTTTTCATTCTACCTAAACACGTTTGTGGTATGTACCTTAGGCCTCCACCTTTTTGTTCGCATGAATCGGCGGAACTGCCGCCACTATTTGAAAGAAATCGCAAGCCACGTGAAGGGCGTTTTTGGACCGAGCAAAGGTCCCTGCAGCCTATCACCAGCTTTAGAGCGATTCTTCACTACCTTAGAGGCGTATACAGGGCTTGAACCTGATAATAAGAGTACAAGGGTGGGCTAAAATTTATGGAGGACAAAGACATTTTGTCGTAAAAACTTATAAAAAACGCCTACGTCCCAACATAAGAGTGAACTCGAAAAATGCTTTTTGCAAAATTTTTGGTTTGTTCTTGGGTGCTCTGTCCTGTAAAAAAAAACCTAGATAGTGACTTCCTCTCCGCTACAGATGTGGTCTTTAGAGTGTCTGGCTAGGTTTTTACATCAATTTTTTCATTTTGGGAGTACGAAAGTCGACAAGGGGAGAGCTAGTTTCTGCATCTGATAATGTCCTGGTGGTAACTGTAACTTTCGAGTCCTCCGAATTTTCCATCTGTGGTGGTTCCAAACTTTGAAGAGTTGAACTGTTACCCATAAGAGCTTCCCTGATACGTTAGACTGCCGCTAGATGTAACGTGCCAGAGCCCTAGTGAGTTCAATTTGAGGACTGACTCAAAGTGAAGTAGTTATTTCACTAGTTTTGAGAACTTCATGAAATTTGGTTTCATTAGGAAGAAGACATTGTACCCTCTCCACATAGTGCACAGAAAACGAGATGAAAATGGAGCGATGTATATGACCGCACGCGAAAGCTGTCCTCATAATTTTGACCCACCCTGTACTCGTTGCACGAGTCGACGTCATACGACGGCAGACGCAACTCAAACTCACACCAAGCTTGGTACGGCGATGGAAGTGGTTATATAACTGATACTGTACGCAACGATGAGCGTTAGTAAGCGATAGCTGATAGCTCCAATCGACATCAAACTTAAGCGGACATTCGCTAGCGATGTCAAGAACTGTGAGAATCGCCAGCAATCACGTCGACCAGCACCATCCATGGTAACTCACAACTTCCAGTAGCCCCCTCACCTATTTTAGTGTGCAATCAGTTACCATCCAGGATGTCCAGCCCAATCGAAACGACCGTTAGTTAACCGTTGACGAAGTTTTTTATTCAGAAGTCTTCTTCCAGAATTTTCTACAAGATTTCTAGAATTCACTCCGCTGAAGTCGTTACTTTTCCTCCACTTTGATTCATTCGAGAGTCATCCGAATTTCTCTGGACGATTGTGGAATATGAAGTATTTAGCCAAGTGAAGATTCCTAATCTGAGGCGCGCTACGCGCTGTGGTAGTAGTCGCAGTGGCATTTGAAAGGCCTTCGCCACTTTGCTATGCTGTCACCTAATTACATAGCTATTTAACAGGTTACTAATTCCTTGTGTGTGTTCGAAAGCTCCTTCTGCCATTGTAAAAGTTTCCAAAATTTTGAAGCGGCTTTGATACACTACGACCTAACCCAGCTCCCGAATTTCTAGATAAACCGGTTGTAGGTGTTGGGCTACTGGGAGTTATTGGCAATATGTAGAGGGTGCCAAAGGAAAGAGGCACTCCACACGGAAACGGAGATTAGTTACATTGCGAAAATCAAACTCGATGGAGTCTTACTGAAAATTAGGGAGCGCAACACAGTCTACAAAAAAAACTTCAGAAGAGCCTTCTACCCCGATGATTCCAAGAAATTTCCTCCGAATTGTGTGCACTGTTCAGGTTTAACAGATTCTTGACGACCGTGATCATTGCGACGTTCCTTGAAAAGCTGGTCAAAAGCGGTTTGCATAGTCACAGCTAGTGTCTCTGGGAAGCTATTCACCAGTTAACCGATTGAAGAAATTATGTAGCAGCTTCAGGCCGGAGCGATTACGGTAGGCCTCCTTGAGCTCGACGGTGATGCAGATGACGTCATATTCTGAAGACGGTGAGGCAGTGAAGGAGGGCCTGCTTCTGCTTATGGGGGGACATCTAAGGAATATTCGCCGTTAAACTTTCATCAACAGCGTCACCCCGAAAAGTCTGGTATTGTGCGCCACAGACAGAGTGACTTTTTTGCCCTTTCCCTATACTATTTATTAAAGGAAGCGATTACGATAAAGAGGGAGCGCATCGGGAAGCATATGCACCACACGAAGCAGTTACTTGGCTGCCAGGAAGCGAGGTGTGGCGCTTTCACGACGAAAGGTGCGCTGGTTGCTGAGCAGGACTTCGAAAGCACTCCGCCCCCAAAAGCGATCCGCCCACTAGTTTACTTGTGATTTGGACGAGCTGCGTTGCCAGCAGCGGCACAACTGGAGCAACTCGATTGGAGCGTGGTTTGGCATGGTGCCACCAAACGCGTTGCGGTGAACTCGTTCATACGTCCGCTTTCTGAGCTGTTACCTGTTCATGAGTGAAAACCAACGGCCAAAAAGGGGGTCCCGTTTTGCGTTTTCTTGACGGATTCTCTGTTTTTTCGCCATACCAGTGAGCACTACCACGTCTCTGAACACTTTTGCATAGTACTATGGTAATCGCTGCCTTCAAGGCAATCTCGTTCATCACTGGCCGCACTTGTACTTGTAAGTCAAAAATGAAAAAATTTGCCAGCTCTCGAACCGCTACTGTTAATGCTTGACGGGCTAGTCGTCATTTACGATGAGACGCAAGGTTGCTGTTGTTAAAAAAAAAAATCCCGTAAATACAGACATGGAAGAGTGCTTCTATGTCATAGCTCTCATCTGGGAGGTATGGTCGTTAATTAGTTTTCAGGAAGCCAACACAGTATTCTCTTACCATCTTTCTATTTTTGATAAAAGTTTTTTTCGTGGAGAATTCAGGACTTTTTCGATAACTCAGTCAGAGGTCAAAAATTTTCGTTTTCCACATGCTATTCCGCTGATCGTTCTGCGCGCCACACCAACTTACTGTTTGTAGAGTCTGGCCTAATTGTTGGATTGGAGCTGAGTGGTGACCCCTCGGTGGATGGCCGAAGTTCATCCCGATTTTCCGACGTGCGCGCACTTTCGGTTTGAAAGTGTCAGTGCATTTAGCCGAGGTATGTTCAGTTTTTGGCGACGTTAGAGTTGAAAGTAGCGCTCTCTTCATCAAAGCCATCATTTACCATATTGAATAGATGATCGCACTTAACGCAGCTACACATTCTGTACAAAGGGTACGCAAGCCTAAATCGTACTACGGGGGCTTGCTAGGGTCACTAGCTGGCTGTCGCCTATGCAGATCCCAGTTTTCGGAGGTGGAGGAAATCCTGGTAGCTCGAATTATTACTCTTCCGCTTTTACACCCACTACGTTATTTCCTACCTTGCAGAAAAGGGTCTGGGAGTGCATTTATGCGAATTGTCAACGCATCAACTTAGCGCCACTATTCAATCGGAACAGGGCCGGGCGATGTGTTGTTGTACAGGGTGCGCCAAAATTACGGAGACAACGCATGAGCAAACAATTTGAACTGATATTCACAGATGCTGTTTTCTTCTGTCCTAGTTTTGGTACTGTGGTGTAGAATTGTTTATGCTTACCTTGTTCAACCACCAAAATCTATGGTAGCTGCAGCGGTTGACTGATACTGACACGTCCCTAAATCATTGGACTTCGACGTTGAGGGTTTTTGGCACGCGACAATTATCATCGTTTTGGTGTATACCCGAGCACTATCAATAGATGCTCCAAGTGGTACAGGGGACAAGGAGCTGAATGCAGTCATTCTGGATGAGAAGGGCGTGTTTCTGTGGCGACCACGAACAATCTAAGGATTGTGTGCGATAGAATTTGCAGGTAGTTGACGCGCTGGTTTCACTGGATGTCACGAGAGATAGGAATCAGGGGGGCTCTTTTGGACTTATCAGAGCCCATTGCTATCCTGAGTTTATTTTCACTTTGAAAATCGTTGCTGGGCCTTCCATCAAGTAGGAGCTCCCGTTTACGAGGCAAGGGTGGTTCAGTACTAGTGCAGCATTGATGCAGAACCGATTTTTCGACTTTGTCGGCTTAAACGGTGGTAGAACAGCATTTCAGATCTGAGCTCGATAGGGTACGCTGTCGGATCCGTTCTAGAAGCTGAGGCTTGCATAAAACACATTATGTCTAGGGATTCGTTGAAGAAACCGCTCTAAAATGAGCTTGACGAGTCCTACTCGCCACATTGCGTGCCACAGTCGATGGTTCCTCGATGTTTCTGAGGACCCGTATAAACACAAACCAAGGAATTTCAAAAATTGCATGGATGTCGACGATTCAGAATGGGACTGTGCACGTCACTGCATTTTTGTTTTCAAAGAATTGCACCTTGCTCATCCTAGGCAACTCGAAGTCGCTGTCTCCGTAATTTTGGCGCACCCTGTAATTCATTAACCCAGTGTCCGTGCGTTACCTTTTTATAGGTTAGCAATCAATTGGAGGAGGTGGACGAATTTTTGGCTCTCCGTCCAGATCGTATTGGACACGGCACATACCTGCATACTAGTGAGAATTTTGTGAAGCAGTCGTCGAGCAGCGAATTCCACTAGGTTTCGAATCATTGATTCTTTTACGGATTGCTGTTGTTGAAAATGCTATTAATATGGTATGGAAGCCTAAGGCTCGAAATGCATCAGAACAGTAAAAATCGCAGTCTGAAGGCAGTAGTTGTGGAATTGCTAATTCGGTTTTCGTTCAAGAACGAACGTGAAGGGCAAAGTGGGGCCACAGTGAGGAAAACAACAGTCAGAAAAGAACGACCGGAAACTTGCAAAAAATGAAGCTTTTGTGTGACCAGATATGCGTCGCATTCAAGCCCCGGTATTAGCTCGACTATAAGGAAGCATACTGCCATAGAAATTATGAGGTCCGTACCAACAGTCGATATCTCGAAGTCTGATTGGGCTTGTGACCGGAGATGACGTGGCAGCACTTATAAGGTTGCGCGCAGAGTCAACCCTGCGTTGCGCAGTTTTCAACGGCCACGTTGCGCAGTTTCGCCCGATTAGACACGTTCTCTCGCGCGAACATTCACACTCGCATGCTCGAGCCGTCTGCGTCTCCGCCCATACAGCGTGCGTTGAGGATCTCTCAACGTGCCGTTGCGAACTGCGCAACGCAGGGTTGACTCTGGTTGCGCGGGGG